CAATGTAGCTTGTCTCACTTTACCATGCTTGCAATTTCACTCTATTCGTGCATCCGTTTGCTTGACGCTCCATCTGAAACTCGCAGCGCGATATTCCACTTGTACTTTTCGCACCGTAGGATTCTCGACCACACAGTCCAGCGTATTTGGAAACGTCTTGAAACGACGGTCACTTCTACAATTATTATAATTTTCGAAAACCCGTAAGATACATTTCAGCTAATGGTTTCTACTTTATGAATCTACAAAATGTTGTTAATTCAGCCATCCAAGGACTTGTCAACTGGGACTGCCAGTAATCAATATTCTACTATACGAGAAGGAGTTTTGAAAGCAACGAATAATTTCACAATTTTATACGATGTTTACTTATAAAAATTCGGGAAACAAAGCTGAAACTTGAATTCATATTCTCTTAGAAAGACTACATATTTAATTTAGTAATTACCTGCATAAAAATTCTCAAACTCAGAGTTTTAGAAAATTAGAGCTAAGAATTATTGAAAATTGGAACAATTTGCGATGAACAATTGCTATTTTACAATTATTGAAATTTTCAAAAACCTGTAAGTTACACTCGTAGCTAATGGTTTTTACTTTATGAATCTATACAATTTCGTTAATTCAGCCATCTTAGTACTTATCAACTGGCATAGCCAACAATCAACATTCTATTGTACGAGAAAGAGTTTCGAAAGCAACGAAAAGGGTACGAGTCGGAAGGTATCGGTCATCCATTTATTGCTAGTCCATTTATTTTGTTCCCCGTGACCTCGTTAGGCTATGGGGACTTTCAGAAACGAAAGTTTATGAGGATTTTCAATTAGCAAAATGTATCTTACGAGTTTTCGAAAATTATAATAATTGTAGAAGTGACCGTCGTATCAGAACGTTTGCAAATACGCTGGACTGTATTGGTCGAGAATCCTACGGAGCGAGAAGTACAAGTCGAATATCGTGCTGTGAGTTTCAGATGGAGCGTCAAGCAAACGGATGCGCGAATAGAGTGAAATCGCAAGCATGGTAAAGTGAGACAAGCTACATTGATCCTCGTTGTGACTTGTTTCGCTTGTGGTTGTGCCGATGTCGTGCTCTCTCGCTCACTCGTTATTCCCTCGTTTTGTCTGAAACTGCGAGAAGCAGCATTGTTTAACTGTGAAGCTAAACATTGCATATATATACACATACATATATGTTGGTATTCATATGTTCATCTACATATGTACATTAATTTTATTAATACTTAATAAATGATAGTAATCACGTTATATATAAATAGCAACGTTTTATCATAAATACGGCGGTATTACTTAACTTCTTGAAAGAGCGTACATTAGTTTTCCTCCGTTTGATATTTATGTATGTTTGTTCTATTTTATAATTAATGTGCAACAAATTTTCATTCATCTATATTATTCCATTTAGATGCTAAGATTAAAAGATATTTGACTCTTTTGTGTTACAGAGTAATCCATGTGTGCTACATACAGAAAATTTATAATTATATAATAAACCTGATGAAATTGTCAATATGCATTTGCGAGTATGGTTAAGCGCGACATACTATCCGTATCATTCATAGTACGAAGCTTACTCCGAGGTGTTCTATTTGGAATCCCTATAGGGATTACCTTTGTAGACAGAATTGGTTCCGTAGCCAAGGTAGATGGTGTCTCTATGCAGCCAACCCTAAATCCAGACACATGGAAAAGTGATTATGTATTTTTGAATCATTGGATAATTCATACCGAAGGCATTCGGCGTGGTGAAATAGTAGCCGTCACGTCTCCTAAGAGACCGAATGAAACGTTGATTAAACGGGTTGTTGGATTACCTGGAGACATTATATGCACCCATGGAAACTGTGGAAACGTACTGCAGGTATTTAATATGTATTTCTGTCATTTTTAGTCTGAAAGAAAATCTAATTATTTTCTTACTAGATACCAGAAGGTCACTGTTGGATAGAAGGCGACCACACCGGTTACTCTCTGGATTCAACCACTTTTGGCCCAGTTTCTCTCGGCCTAATAACTGCCAAAGCTACCTGCATCGTATGGCCCCCTGAACGCTGGCAATTTTTAAATTGTGCTATACTGACACACAAATTTCAGCTATATCTAGCAAGAGATCAGTTGCATAAAATTTAGTGCTCGTGCAATGAGAGCCGTCAGTTTTGTAAAACGGTTGCAATGGGATTTGCCTGGAACCGTGTGCAGACATGGATTAACAATAGGAGACATAGATAACGATGGCGACAACGAATTAGTTGTTGGCACCACAGAGGGAGAACTATACATCTTCAAAGTGAGTTGTACTTTCATGGCTATGCGATATATTGCATATTATAATATCGAAATCAATATCCAACAGGGGTCAGAGCTGTGGCATAAAATACCAGGTTTAGGTCTAATTACTAGCGTCGCGGTGGGAGATATTTTTAATTATGGTCGTAATGCATTGGTTGTGATATGTGGAGATGGATGGGCTCATATATTTTACAGTCCAAGGTCTGTAAATCCTAGTACAACTAGCACAGCATTTTCCCAACAGCCAACCAAAGAATCATCGGATCAAGACAATAGCAAAGGTGACTTTGAATTTCCAGTGGATCCCCGAAACATGTAATATTTCATTTATAAATTTACGTCGTTTGTTTTCAGATCAAACAGACGGAGGTAGCGAAGCGAACGAGTTAACCGGCAAAATGGAATGCGTGCATGTACAAAGAATTCCGACGAACACAAAGGTGGTCTTGATAGAAGATGTTGATAAAGATGGCGCCAACGAGATGATATTGGGTTTAACTGATCGCGTAGTTCGGTCTTATAGGTGGTCAAGCAATTTAGAACTAGGTAGAGGAAAATTGGTTGGATTGAATAAATGGGAGTGTGCCAGTCAGATAGGAACAGTCACGTTGCAGGTGAATAGAGCGTGCTACATTAAAGTATAAATAACAATTGCACAATATTTCTATACCAATACAGATGTATATTTAAATTGGACTTCCGTTCAGCATACAGCGGATGGAACACCGACTTTACTAGTCGCTCAGCCTGGTGGAACTTTTATGCGAATCAAGTGTAATCCAAAAGAGTGTTACTTGGAAGACGAAGCTCATCAAACTGATCATGAGACGGCAGCAAGTTGCGTAGATTATCAAACGTTGGGCATATCGCGAATGCGCAATCAAAATATTTCAACGGAGATCATAGGGGATTTGGAGTGCACATCGGCGGAGAACAAAACGACATTCAATGAATCTTCGTCCAAAGAAAATGTATCCAGTGATGTTCGTTCTGGCGACAGTTTGATGTTCAAGTCGACCGTGGACAATAACGAAACGAACAATAGCGCCGAGAAAGCTGATTCTACAAACGTGGATCAAGTCGATGGCAATATGTTCGGAGGGAACGTAATTCTTGGCGATTACGACGAGCAACCAGATAAAGATTCAATGTTGCCAACGTATAAAGACTTCTCTCAAAACAACAACAACAATAACAACAACAGTCACAACTGCAATAGCAGTAGCAGTAGCAACAGCGTTGCTTCAAGAGGAAAGGACGAAACTGGAGCTAGAAGAAACGTTGAACAAGATTCGCCGCAAGGAAAACCTTACGCACTCGCCACTTTGGACGGAACAATAATGTTGGTAAAGGATGAAGTCATTTCGTGGTAAGCTCGGGTCGTCGAGGATGATCTTCACCGCGAATACGGTCGTTGTATGACATACTGCATCGTAATACAAAACAATTCGATTTTAGGTCTATGCAAGTGGACCATCTGATATTCGCCCTGTGTCGTTTAGACGTGACCGGTGATGGTTCGGACGAAATCGTGGCCTGCGCTTGGGACGGTCAGACTTATATTCTAGATCAGCAACGGAATAGCGTGCGTTTTCAATTCGAGGAGCCGGTCAGAGCGTTTTGCACCGGCAATTACAATGTTTCGCCCGGGGTTTCGACGCCCTGCCTCGTCTACAATACTTTCAACAACAAGGTGATTTCTCGATTCTCGAAATTTTGCAAATTTTGCAACTACCTTCGAAATCATTTACAGATTTTTCTTTACTACGACGTCACGCTGCCGAGCATGGTGATCAAGCCTTTGAATCCGCTGGAGGAATTGGATCCCGAAGAGAAGAATACTTTCGACGATCTCCTAGGACGTTGCAACGCTACGGAAAGATCGCAGAAGATGCAGCAGATGACCGAATGGTTGCTATATGGGACGTCCTGACCCGCGTATCTGTACAGACTGGATATATTGTATTATACATAATGAGAAATAAGAAAAAGAAAACGAGTATCTGACATGTATTTTTCTAAAGTGTTTGTTTGTCACCGTGTGTACGGTACGGGTAGGAAAGTTTACTATCGTACACGTGTACAATGCCGTACATGTATTGTATACGTAGATAGATTTCCGGAATAATTCGCCGAAGTAAATCGTTCGTAGGATCGTTTGAGCCATGGGTTACGTTTGTCCAACGGAGAATTTATTGCTCGTATTAATGCCCTTCGTTATCGCGATGGATATATGACCGACGAAAAATCTTGTAAATTTTTGGCAAAGAAGGCCGAGACAATATCTCGACAATGTCTCACTGTACCCAATAGCTTGGATAAAATGTAATCCGTTCGGGACGGCGAGGAGGCGCTGATTTTGAGAATACTTACCTATTTATGGTGCGCCGCGTACGTGATAAACAGAAGTTTATCAGTCTATCGTAAATTAAACTGATGCACGTTGAACATATAGAGCATCGGTCGGAACTTGATCGTTGTCAGTGGGAATGTAGACCTCGTTGGGTACTTTTCCGAAGGCTTGGCGATATTACGATACGATCCGTAAGGGTGTAGTCTCTCTTAAGAAATCCCTCGAGCCGATAGAGCGAGTTAATTTTCGAGCGACCGGTCGGGAAACGTTCATGAGGCCCGTTATCAGCTAGAGACAGGAAACTAAATTAAAACGTGAGTGTAGTAAATATCGTGCCGTTTTTTTCTGCTTCTTTTTGTTTGTTTGTTTTTTATTCCTGTGCCTTATACGCGCGGAAGCGACTTTATATCCTGCTGCATAATGCCGATAGTGAAACGTTCAACGTCCAGTGGACGTCCAATTAAATTGGTATGCGCTTTCACAATCAAGGAGAGAAGTTCATTTTGGTCGATTAGAGAGAACCGGAAGGGAGATGCCGTGGTCGTTTTTCATACGCGACGAGTTTATACCTTTATGTTTCGATGAAAAGGAAGGAATCGAAACGAGGAAAACGAAGGGAACACACGCGAGAAATACGGGTTTTAAAGCGCGGTCGTTCACCAGGCTCAATCGAGTCGCGAACGTCGTCCGAGGAGAAGCGTGTTTCCATTTTCGGTGGGTAAGACGCGAGCACGTATAATTACAAGTAAAATCCAATCAATTCTAGAATGGCGGAGAATGAGACGAGGTCGGGGATGGTCGGCCAGCAGCTCAGGCAGCTCACGTTCGGATGGACCGATTACACACTTTTCAGCGGCCTGCTGGGCGTCAGCGTTCTGATAGGGATCTATTTCGGTTGTTTCGGCAAGAAGCAAGATAACACCACCGAATATTTGCTCGGAGGGAAGACGATGACTTGTTTCCCGGTTAGCATGAGTCTAATTGCAAGGTAGCCTACTCTTTGAGAGTGCCGGGCGATCCTCCTCTCGACGCGGAGGACGCGCGCGCGCGTTTTACATTTTCACGATTCGCGTTCGAAATCGAAACGATCTCTCCCGCGATCTGATTTCTAATCTCTAATTTGTCCGTTTCCATTGCTTTCAGTCACATATCGGCGGTGTCTTTGCTCGCCATACCCGTCGAGGTCTATCAATACGGGACGCAATACGCCGCCTGTATTTTTACATCGGTAATATCGTGCGGCCTCGTTGCCATTATCTACGTGCCGGTGTTTTACAATCTCCAGTTGACCAGCACGTTCGAATATTTGGAGATGAGATTCACCAGGCCGGTCCGCACCTTCGCCTCGTTTCTCTACTCCCTCTCGCTGATTATTTACGTACCCTTGATCATCTACGTACCCTCGTTGGCGTTCTCTCAGGCGACAGCGATCAATCTGCACTTGGTCACACCGGTTATCTGCATCGTGTGCATATTCTACACGACGATCGTGAGTAGTAACCATCGCGAGGAATTCGGCAGCTTTCGTTTTTGCGTTCGACAAAGGCCTGGCACGGAGGCGGCGGTCGTTGCTCGATCGAAGGAAACCGAAGGGAATTTTTTGAATGGAAAACGAAGGAGCCGATTGCGGAAGCACGAACTCTGTAAACCGTTCATGAATGAATCGCGTAATCAGTGCTAATTTAGAAACGGAATTACCAGCAGCTTTTATCTGATTTTCGTATCAGTCTTTGTCGAACGATTAGCTTGTTTGTTTTGTGTCAACTACCGCTTGTCGAGATCGTTCCTGTTACTTCGTTGTTACGCTGCCGCGGTCCGCTCGGGCCATTCGCGATGACAGGTTCGTAATTTCACGTAAGTGCGGCTGTAAATTTATAGGAAACGCGCTATTGAAATCGTATCGCGCTGCCGAAGAACGCGTGTACATACGGTAATAAATCACGCGGGACACCGCGCGGAGATACCGCGAATATCCAGCCTCGAGTGGTACGAGGCGGTTATTATCGTTCGAAATATTTCAGGGTGGTCTGAAAGCTGTTGTATGGGCTGACACCATTCAAATGACCGTAACCCTAGGCAGCCTCTTCGCCGTGCTAATTTTAGGGATCATATCCGTCGGAGGTGTGGCCGAAATCTGGAGACTGTCGGAAGAGGGGCACAGAATCGTCTTTTGGAAGTAAGCAACGTATCTTGAACCGAACATCACCGGATAAAGATGCAACACCGCGATTTGCTCGCGAATTGTGCGCGCGTGCTCGCACGATCTTCCAAAGTCTAAATGATGGTCCGGCATTTTTTACAGCATGAACCCGAGCCTGTTCGCGAGGAACTCGTTGTTGGGCATGTCGGTGGGCATGACTCTTACTTGGGTAGCGGGTCTCGGTATCAGTCAAGTGTCCATGCAGCGGTTCCTGTCGGTGCCAAACCTTAGGGAGGCTCACAAGTGAGTAGAATCGGATTTTGATCACGATACAAGGATAACGGGTTGTTTTATCGATCTAGTCAAGCGATAGATCTTATTCAAATTTGCAATAACCGCGCGCACATCCTCGAACTATAAAGTGGCAATCTTCCTAATAATTTTATCCCTTAGCGCTCCGTTGGCTCCGCTATGGAGACATCCGTCGTTTGTTCCGTAAATCCGAAGGCTCTGCTGCGGAGCCCAATGTTGTTAGCATGATTACACGGAAGATGCTATGTTTTCGTCGACGTTGGCGATTGTTATTTGTAGCGAAAACGTGCTTAGCGTGTGTACCATTACGATTGAAACATTTTTTGCCCATTTTTATACTTGGCAACGTAACATGAATGAAATTCGAACGCTTTCGCAAGGACGCGTAATCTTTTCCGCTCGAAATAAGACTTCCTTTATCTCGGGCGCTTTGCTCCAAAAATATGCCGGAGTTGCTGGTAGCGATATTTCTCAGAAAAACGCTGTTCAACTTTATTTTAGAACGTCCGAAGAATATTTACTAATTTTTAATTCGATTTAATTATCAATCGAGCCGATTTCAACGAAGATTAACGATAAAAAAATTCCGGCAAACTCGCGCAAAAGATACTTTTGTTTCGATAATTCCGTATCCGAACAGAATTCAACGGACGATTCGCGATGCTAATTTTATAATAAATCGCGTCAAAGAACACGAGGGATATATTTATTTAAGAATTGCGAAGAATATCGTTGATAGTAAATTTACCCATTTCGATGAGGATGCATTTGCTGCTTGGAAATTTTCGTCACAATTCACGATGTCGATGCACCATTACGATTAAAACATTATTTACCCATTTTTATACTTAGCAACATAAAATGAATAAAATCGAATGCTTTCGCAAGGACGCGCGATCCTTTCCGGCTCGAAATAAGACTTCCTTTATCTCGGGCGCCTTGCTCCAAAAATGTGCCGGAGTTGCTGGTAGGTAGTACTCGAGAAACGCGTGGAGCGCTAAGGGTTGAGTTGTAAGTCCGGGAGGCCGTCCCAAGCCGAAACACGAGGATTATGTATATGAAACAAGTGAAATAGATAACGCGTTCTTTTTTCTCTTGTTTACGCAGGGCACTCGGATTTCTAGCAATATGCATGACAGTGGTCAAATGGATCTCCGTGTTCACGGGCCTGATAATGTACGCCAGGTACCACAAGTGCGACCCCATAAGCACCCACGTACGTTCCTCTTTTCCTTTCCGCAAAAGTCCAGAAAATTGTCACACGGTCGAATTGAACGGATCGGTCCAGAAGTTCATCGTTCTATCGGTTCCCAGGTAATCACGAGAAGCGACCAATTACTGCCGTATTATGTGTTGGACGTAGCCGCGGATATTCCAGGACTTCCCGGCCTCTTTCTTGCCGGCCTCGTCAGTGCCGGCCTTTCCACGATGAGCGCCAATTTGAACACAGTAGCCGGAACAATTTACGAGGATTTCATCGATCCCTGGCTGCCGGATAGCGACAAGAAGGAGGCCAGAGCCGCGATGATCATGAAGGTGCGTCTCGAGTAATCGTGACACGAAACAATACCTTTACGGTTCAGCAACGATCCTAATTACGACGTTGCGACGATTTCCAGTGCATCGTGGTCGTCGTAGGTTTGATCTGCGTGGCGGCTGTGTTCGCCGTGGACCGTTTAGCCGACATTTTCCAAGTCTCTTTGACCCTGCACGGTGTCACGGCCGGCGCGATGGTCGGCATCTTCACGCTGGGAATGCTGGTGCCGTGGGCAACGTCGAAGGGCGCGATCGCCGGCGGATTGCTCTCCATTCTGATCATGGTTTGGATCATCGTCGGTGCCCAGGTGAACGTGGCCCAGAAACGACTGTACTATCCACCGCTTCCGACCTCCACCGACCAATGTATCGGCGATTGGTTCAATCAAACTACTAGTCATTCGATTCACACCCCGCCGACTACCGATCCGGACGACCAGCCTTTCATTCTGTTCACCATATCGTTCATGTACTACACTCTGATCGGTTTCATGATAGTGATGGTCGTGGGCACCGCGGTCAGCTTCCTGTGCGGTCCTTCCGACTTGAGGGAGGTCAACAGGAATCATTTCCCTCCGATCGTCCAAAGGTGAGCGATCGTGTTCCGACCGTTTCGAAAATGTACTCGGGCCATCTCGATCCGCTTCGTAACCGCGCAAACATTGCAAACACGTGCCGTTTCTTCCAGATTTTTGCCGCCGAGGAAGTACATGGAGGTGCCGTTGCACGCGATACCGACCGCTCTGATCACGAATCCGGAGAAAGAGAAGGTGAACGCGTGAAAACAAAGCGAACCGTTCCTGTAAATATCGCCGGTACTGGCGTTAAGAACAAATTCAGGAGCGATAAGTATCTATTAAGTATTGGTACGCGCACAAGGGTGGGACAGGACGGTCCCGTGGTCCCGTTCGTCCCGAGAAAGCTGGCCCATATAACCGATCCATCGGTCTGTCCCGGGTTGAAAGCAGCTATTAGGCCCTCGATGAGGGTGTCAAATTGACTAGATTATATATCTGAGGGACGCATCTCGATACAAACAACTCTTCTAAACATCCGAAGGAACGATGCCTATCGGATTAGGGCGAATGTAAATGGGGAAGGGTGTGCGCTTTTTTGTCGAGTCATTCGTCGAGTCGAACGAGAGAAAATCCGCGAAAGATCGATCCGATCGGTGATGTACGAGCGTCGCGACCGGCTGCACACGTGTGTCCACGTACGCGCGTTGCCTCTGTTCGTTAAAAACTTAAAAGAGACACGGGTCAATTGGAGCAGGCCGCGCGCGCGCGCGCGCGCAATCCTCGGCCACCGCGAGCGCAATTTATTTCCACGGCGATTTCATCGAGCTGCTCCGAAGTACGTTTTCAATCGGGCACAAAGTTGTTCCGGGGTCGTTATAAAAATTTCACGGTTCTATAAACGGCGACTCGAGATCGCGATACTGTACGGGACCGGGAAGCGACGTCGGATTTATCGTCGATACAAGCTCGCCCGTTCGTCGGTTACAATGGAAAAGACATTGGTACCGTGACGAAAAATCGATCCCGGAGTTATGCTATTATACGTCGCGCACACAGTGGCGGCCGTATACTTAAGGATACTGTTTAATTCGATTTCATGGGCTACATATTCCGAGGAATAGAAGCTGTTCGAGAATATACGTTTTACGTATCGTGCGTCTGGAGTTTATATTAACGTCGAGTGCCGCGTAATTTTTTAACCGGGTTTCGAAATTCATTCTTATTGTAACACATTGGATCACAATGGATCATCGGAACACAAAAGAGCTAATCTAATATTTTCCATGGCAGATTCGAACTTTTTACTTTCGCTTTCATTGTCGAACGACTTCGACCATTGTTCCGGCCATTTTTGGAGCTGATATTCGGCATCTGACGCGTTAAAATATATCAGAAGACAATGACAGATGTTTACATTACACCCATATTCTTGAAATCGGCAACACGATTTTTCGCTAGCACGTAGCGACGATGCTGTGCATCGTGAAAACGCTGTTAGCGCTTACGCGGATGCGCTGTACGCATCGTTGACAAAGGCGCGCGTTGAATAAAGCTTGCGGAGCTTCGAAGGCGGAATCGAAGCGTCTCCGAGCGTGTGGCCGCCGCTGCATGCACGGATCCGCGCGTGAATCGAAATACACAAGGAGTTATACAGGGTGTCCCAAAAATGTCTCGCAATCCGGGAATGACGGGTTTCTCGGATCATTCGAAGCAACTTCTTCCTTTACAAAAATGTTCTCCGAGGCACCGTTAACGAGTTATCAACGAAAAACAGTGACCGATAAGAATCGAGTACGGCTGACGCGAGGCGGCCCAGCCAACCACCGCGCGAAGCCCAGTTCCGCTCATTGGCTCGGTCGCCTCGCGCCAGCCGAGCTCGCCTCTCATTGGTCACTGTTTTTCGTTAATAACTCGTTAACGGTGCCTCGGAGAAAATTTTTGTAAAGGAAAAAGTTGCTTCAAACGACCCGA